CTTTTGGCGCGCGCAGCGGCGGGGGCGGGGCGTCGGCGGAGGCGGTTGTCGACCGTTGGGGGGGGAGGGGCCGAGCCTGTGCTGGGGTGCAGTGTTCCCTCTAAGCTGAGTTAGTGTGAGCCAGCTCACCGTTTTTTAGCCTCCGGCTCACACATTTCTGTCTTCGCTCAGGAAGGAGGGCTCCAGAGCTAACTAATTCATGCAGTAGCCAAATCACCTGCTCACAATGTTAATGCCAGTGGCTCAGAAACTAGAATTTCTGCTCACAGGACTCCACAGCTTAGAGGGAACGTTGGGGGTGGTGGCTTTGCAGGGGGACCTCTGAAGTGAAAGTAATGGGGGGGGGCGGGGGGGGGAATGCCTACTAAAGTTGTAGGCACATTTCATGAACCACTTTGTACTCTGCTCTGCCACTGCCTAACAGGTTTGACTTGGTAGGTGTACTTAGCACTTCCATAATGCATATGATTCTAACATCATGGATGTATTCAGGTACCCTGTTTCCCCGAAAATAAGACCTACCCCAAAAATAAGCCCTAGCAGGATTTCTATGCATTTGTGGTATAAGCCCTAGTGTGTCTTCTTGAGAAAAAATAAATATAAGACAGTGTCTTATTTTCGGGGAAACACGGTATTAACTTTGGTTCATTTGTGACTGTTGTTTGAATGCATGCTGGGAAGAAGAAGGCGGAAATGCTGATACACAGTTATGCTACCCATGACCTTGCTCAAAAATGCCCATGCCCCGGAGGCAAAAATGTTGGTCGCTTCAATATACTGCTTCCCCAGATGTTTTTCTGCTCTCTCCCTAAAAGAGGTGCCGCACTGCTACAGGACTCTTACTACTCCTGTTGAATATCCCACTGCTCACACCAAATTTTATGTACAAAATGGCACCTCTGGCCCCCTGCCTTCTACCCCAGGGCAGAGCAGACTCTAGAGCAGGGCTGAGGCCTGGTGGGCTCATAACCAGCAGTAAACGGACAGAGTCCCAGGCAAGGATCCTTTAAAGGATATAAAGCTTTATAGAAAACAGTTTGGCATCCTACACTAACCTCATCACACTCCCACTCACCCAAAGTTAAAGAGTCCAGTGGCACCTTTAAGACTAACAAAGTTTAATTCATGGTATAACTTTTCATGTGCAAGCATACTTCAGATACAGAGAACAATCTCTTCAACCATGACTTATTGGGGGGGGGGGTTGGTTGTCAGGAAGGACCAGTTAGAGTGGGGTGGGGTATAAATCCAATATCATCATCATCTTCACCTTCCTTTGCTAGTGGGAGATCCCCTTCGTGGTTCAGACTCAGAGCTGAGACCTCATGCGTCCGAAACCTGGGCTCTTTATGCTACAAAAGAATGTGGGCGTTCATCTGCAGGAGGCCCTGGGGTGTGCCAGTTCCTGGGTTCCTGCTTAATGCAGGGGGGGGGGTGCACTGGGTAATAACTTTGTGGCTGTGTTTTGTGGGTTGGGCAGGCTGATGCCATGTGGATTATTCCATCAGCTCCATTGTGTTGATGCAGACTATCATAAATGTCATGAGAGTACTGTCGCCTTATCTCTTGCTTAAAGTCAATTTCCTTTCCTATGTACTTCGTTGCTTGAAGTACATAGAATCTCCAGGGCATCACGCCAACATTACAATGAAATGGAACCAGAAGACTCTTCTGCCTATAGGTATAGTTCTTGGGATATGCAGTAAAAGGAAATGCATCAGCTGCTCAAACTTGTCATGCCACTAGGAAAAGCACAGATGTTTTGCCAAGAAAAAAATGGTAGCTTTATTGTGAGTGGTGCGTTCTGCGGAGCGACATTTCACAAATGGCATTCACAACATTATCACATCAGAGAGGTTCAACCACACCATGGCGACTGACAGGTTTTTAAAACTTCACAAACAGGAAACACAGACCTCCCAGTATAAAGGATGCAATATAAGAAAAATGCGAGATAGACGACCTAAAAAGGTATAAACATTCAAGTACTATAATGTATATGCAAATGTAATCAACTTTATACTAAAGCTTAATACTCAGAATGTACAAAATTACAATATTAGAGCATAATAGCCAGAGGTATACAAAATTATAATACAAAAGCTCATTAATCAGAACATAAGAATGTAGCAGCAATATAGAAACAGTTCAGCAATATAGAAACAGTTTACAAAGCAGCCGGCTTTCACTTTGTTCCGTGGTGAAACTTCATCAGAAGCAAATGAACATGTATCGTGTCTTGATATCTCTTTATTGGAGATAAAGCTAAGCTAAGGAAGCCTTGAGCCTACCATTATGCAGAGAGGTCCAAAATGAGAGATTTTCCATAGAAACTAAGGGCTAGTCCCACTACTATCTGTAGCAACCTGAGAGGAGAAGGTGCTTCTATGAACTAGGGAGGTGACATTATAAACCAAGAGATATCAAGATACAATACATGTTTTTTTGCTACTGATGAAGTTTCACCACGAAATGAAGTGAAAGCCGGCTGCTTTGTAAACTGCTTTGTCAATTGTTTCTATATTGCTGCTACATTGTTATGTTCTGATTAATGAGCTTTTGTATTGTAATTTTGTATACCTCTGGCTATTATGCCCTAATATTGTAATTTTGTTCTGAATATTAAGCTTTAGTATAAAGTTAATTACATTTCCATATACATTATAGTACTTGAATGTTTATACCTTCTTAGGTTGTCTATCCCCAGTTTTTCTTATATTGCAAGTTTTTAAAACTTCACAGTAGCATGTTACAAAACAGCATTCACAGCTCATATTATACCGGAAAACTCCAAAGATGAATGCAACCAGGTTTCTGTAGTGGGGGGGGGGTATGGATATGCATATATACGTGTGCATACCTGGAGATACAGGATAAGACAGATTGGAAGGGATCTAAGACAACTGTCTGGAATGTATAGGACTGCCACCCAGACCAAAGAAGTACAAGTTGCTTTGTCATCCTAGAAAATTCATGATGCTTTACTGTATTCAGCCTTCATAGGCTAATGAGGAATACGACTCGTGGAGTAACAGTTTTGGGTAACTGAAATCTCATTTTTTTAATGTAAATACCAACGAGTTTCACCAACCCTTTGCAATCTGGAGCCTCTTTGGCCATTCACATGTTCTCCTTTGCAGGGTTGCTGTGTCACAGTACTTTGGTACGCCACGGGTTTTTAACACTAGAATTGCCTGGGATTTAACTCCAGTATCTTTCACAGCCAAACCTCAGCCTGGAAGAGGTAGAATAGTGCCTGAGGCACGTGCGGGGCTCAAGCGCTTCCAGGGGGCAGATTTGCAGCCACTCTAGTGGCAATAGGAAACCACACAAAGGATCTTCCAGTGCTAGCCCTATGCTATGCCTGAATTGATCCCACTGTCCCTGTTAGCCACACGGCTTGGCTCGTGAATGCTGAGCAGACTGATTCAGATTGCCTGGCACTTGCAAAAATGTTCAGAGATGCAATGTTAGGGTGTGCTCTGGCTACATGGGTCCTTTGTGCCGGGGAGTATTTTTTCACTTTTTAAAAATGGCCTTTCCTAATGTTATACCTCTGAGGATGCCAGTCACAGCTACTGGCAAAATGTCAGGTTCTACAATGCCAAGATCACGGCCACCAACCCGGAAAATCTACAGCAACTAATGAACTCCATCCGTGAAAGCCTTCGACAAAAGTATCTATTGATTATTTTCATTATTGTCCCCTGATTTCTAACGTAATCCGTTTTTACTTCTCCTCCTCTCAAATGCTGGTTCCTGCCAGAGAGGCAAGGCAGTCTGATATGTCTTAGAGGCACTGTGTCCTTGTATCCATTTCGAAAACAGGATCCAGTTGTCTTTGTAACTGCACGTGCCTAGAGGTACTTTGCCTATGGGGTGGGTGGGTGGGTGGATGTTCCCCCTGTGGGAGACGGGAGGCACTTAGGCGGAGGTGCTAAGAGTTTTCAAAACAAATCCAACAACCCTAAATCCCAGTTATTTTGCTAACTTGTATTCGGTTAGAGATGAGAGATTCAACGGAATAAGAAATGCTTCTAACTGTTTGCCTTCGGCATTACAGGGTTCCTATAACTAAAGTAAAGAGGGCTTTTGAGGACAGGCAGATTGCTGCGGGGGGGGGGGATTGCACCAGCTGAAATGCCCTCTTTTGCACAACTGCCAAAGACACATCCAATGCATCTGGTCAGAATAAACCAAAACCATGTCCACACATGAACTAGGGCTTAGAGTATTAATTGGGGAGGTAAAGCCATGTTTGAGCTGTAGGACTCACATAATCAAATGTTTCTCTGCACACACACACAAAAATCCCATCTGGAAAGAAAACAAGGTGTCAGTGCCTGACTGTTGTTGTTTTTTTTCCCTTCTGTGCAGGAGCATTAAAGCCCTGTGGCCTGGACCAAGTTTACCATCCCAGTTAAGTAACAGATCTAGGCTTGTGATGGCTGTGTTACCTCATTTACTTTGTACATGTGAGCATCACAGGACACAGGCTGACCAAGATGAAGAGTCAGCATTTCACACCGTAGAAATATGAAATACCACAACGCTTTAGTGTAGCACATCTGATGGTAGCTATGAAAACCTGTGACTATAAAGCTGTGATTCCAAGCACAGTTACTTCAATGTACGTTACACTGAAATCAGGGGTCGTTTCGTAGGAAAAGAGCTAGGGGAACTCATTAGCATAACTCATTAGCATATGCCGCACCCCCTGACATCACCGGAAGTGTGTCATAAGGCCACACACCCCGCCCCCAACAGTCCCGGCCGCCGGTGCCAGCCTTGCAGCTCCACTGCCGAGCCCCATGAGGGGCCCGGCGGTGGACCTGCAAGGCCGGCGGGAGTGCAAGGAAGCCCCGCGAAGGCCCTCCCTGGCCCCAGGCAGGCAGAGGTGGGGAGAGGCAGGGAGGAAGCAACTTACCCTCCCTCTTCTCCTGCCTCCTCCTGGCTGAATGAGGGCCGGAAGCGGGGCGGCCGGAAGCAGGGGGCGGGGCTTCGTCATGTGCCCCGCCCCCGTACCTCACCCGGGGGAACTGCGATTTCCCACGATCCCCCCCAAATAACCTCTGACTGAAATAAAGACGGCTTACTTCTCTGTAATGTGAAAGTGTCGGGCATATTCAGGTTATATACTTTTCTCACTCTGATTCTGTATGCGTCTCCAACAGTTTGCCTATACTAGAAAAACTACCACATTGGCAAGGGATTGTATGGCCAGATACGGTCTTAACCGTGTTATAAAATGACTTCCCCCCCCTCTTATGACCAAATGAGGACTTTTTAAAGAAGTTCCAAAGCTGCAAATGTAATTTGCTAGGGTCATGCATTGGTGGGGAAGGGAAGCGACAGAAATTTTGTACCACCGGATACCTGATTTTTCTGTTTTCCCAACCACTCAGTGTAGATTAATCCCCCTTGGCAAGACATAATCCAAAAGGGGGATTTGTGTTTAACCACACAAATTGTCTTGAGTTGATAATCGCATTGCGTGCTTCATTCCTTCCTTTATTTACACAACGAGGTGAGGATGAGCAGAGAGCAAAGAAAAGAGACCATATATTGCGGAGGGGTGTGTGTCTGTCTTTGCTTCTTGGAATTAGTGGCAGTGCAAACAATACCATGGTCATTACTCTTGGGCACAATGGGCACAGTGCCATGACGGGTGAAATTCTAGTCTGTGAGAGGGAACTGAGCAAAGCTCACCGAAGGCCTGATTCAGTGACTTTGGAAACAACTCAGGAAACCCTCATTATGAAACCACCAGGGACTGCGTGATTGATTGCGTCGCCAATCTAAAAGGAAGCTGGCCAAACACCATTTCATTCTGGTTGGGCTCTCCCCCACCTACACGGAGGGTTGGATCCAGCCTAAATCGACAATTTCCACGGATTACCCGTCCACGCTGCAGATCCCTCCTCGTATCATTCGTCAGGTTTTTCCATCTCCCAGGAGATCAGTGGGCTGCAGTGGGAGGAAGGAGAGAAGCCTGGTTCCAACCCAGAGACAGCTGCCCTAGATATACTGTTTGAGTTTGGAGCTTGATCATTGTGAATGGCTCTGTCCTCTGGGTTTACGCAGAAGTGGTAGATTCAAGGGAGACCCAGAGCTTGGGGCAGAAGACTATTGGGCTGTTTCCTTAATGGTTAAGAAATGGCTCTATCCATGAATTAGGCCTGTAGCAATGGTGGGGTTTTGGGGGGCTCCATCCCCTTTCTTACAGGCACAGCCCCACAGGAATTTCTCCCGTAAATGCTTTTTTTCAATCATTTTTAAAGGCCTGTGTTCCTTTAAGCAGAGTGGGGTGCTGTCGTTGACTAATTCCCGCACTGAGCAAGGGGGTTGGAGTAGGCGACCTCTAGGATCCCTTCTAACTCTGTGTCAAGAAACTGGTCTCCTTTCAGAAAGTTTTTCTGCCTTGGCTATAGAAGTCATCACCCCCACCTGCTGGCTTGTTCTCAGAACGGTTGCTTAGGCTGACAGAAGTGATTTAACTTGCAGCAGCTGCGTACTGTCATCTAAAGTGGGTGACAGCTTGCAATTTAGAGATCTCTCCTGGTAACAGCTTTCTATTGGCTAAATGGCTAAGGACGCCTACATAGAATAGACAGCTTGAGAAGACTCAGAATCCTGGCTTTTCTTTCTGCACTGAGAACTTCAACCCCACCAGGGGGGGGAAATTTGCCCCACAAGCCACAAAATCCCAGCTGCGGGCCTGCCAAGAATCCACCAGAACTTGGATGAGGTGCCCGAAGTTGAATGGAGAAGGCAGAGTAAGCGTGAAGAAAAAAACATTTGGCAGATACAGACAGATAATGCTATGAGCTGGGCTGGATAGACTGTGGTCAACAAAACACAGTTTTTAGGCTCTTGTCTGCACATTGGTTCTAGCACGGTTCGCTACTTGCAGTTTTGAAATATCAGACAAGCTGGGAGACGCCACAATTCACTGATACCACTGGCCCTTCGTCATTCCCTAAATCATCCAGTCAGCCGAGTCCATCACTGTTGCTGCTTCTGGGCCTTCAACAGTTCACTCGCCAGCATCACGATGTGCTTCCAGGCAAACTGGACATGGGCAGATTCCGCCGTGCGAGCACAAATTGAAAAACGCAGCACAAATTTCCCTTTCAGGCGGCATGGAACGAGATGGATCTTCCTGGCGTTGTTTATGCTCTTCAGCAGTGCCTCGTTGAGCTCATTTGTGCCCTAGGGTTGTGACCAGACAAACAAAAAGCAAGTGTGAGCAATTTGGCTAGGACAGCTTTCGGGAAAGGAGGTTCCAAACCGCATCCCCAGGAGTATTGACATTTCTAGCCAGCTCACTGGGTCTACACTTTGCTACAAACTACAAGCCTGTTAAGTAGACCTATATATTAAATGTATGTGTCAAAGGCTCAGAGGGTGACTAGTTGACCTGTGTTGGTAATATGGCTATTAAAAAGTTAAAGGTTTCCTTCGCTCAAAAGCTAGTCAAATCTGACTCTAGGGTTGCGGTGCTCATCTCCGTTTCCAAGCCGAAGAGCCAGCGCTGTCCGAAGACTTCTCCATGGCCATATGGCCGGCCTGACTAAACACCAAGGTGTTTATCTCCTTGCAATTTCTTGCTTTCGAACTGCTGGCAGGAGCTGGGACCAGAGACAGGAGCTCACTCCGTTGCACAGTACTAGGGTCTCGAACTGCCAAACTACAGACCTTCTAGTCTGCAGCTCAGAGTCTTAATCTCTGAGCCACTGCGGCCCAATATTGCTATAGCTGGGCAATATAAATTTGCATGAAATGTTCCTCAAGCATTGCTTTCTTTTCTTTCTGTATATGCTTCAATACTAAATAGATCAAAGTGTCAGACTTTATGTCTTGGTGGAAATCTCCCTCCAGTTGTTCGGTTCTTTATTGTTACGGTCATTTGACCAAACAAATAATCAGTTTTACAGTTTACACAATAAACAACATTTATAGAATAACACATGATCTAATAAAACTTAAACCTGGTTGCAATACAATTTCCATAGCCTAAGCATCAACACACACAGAGAATTTGGCTACTTGGTACATAATCCTAGGGCTCTCATCACATATATCACACTTAGCTTTTTCAGTAAAACTGAGAAGCTTATCCAATAATGGAGGAATGATCTCACGAGCCGCCTTATAATATGGGCAGCCAAAAACCCTATGGACTCGATCTCTTTTAACAAGACATTCTTTCTCAGCACTGCATCCCTGGTATTTCACTTATAATTTATTTCCGTGGTTCACATCTCAGCCTGCGGTTTGGGTTGCCTTAAATGTGATCCAGCTTACTGTGCCAGCATACACTAGAAGTGTACGTAAATCCTATACGTGCATTCCACCCACCCCTATAATCTGGAACTACGTTACATCTGAAGACAGAAAGACAGCTCAGTTACAGGAGGATGGCCTTTGGCACAATGCTAGAAGAAGAAGAGGTTGGATCTATATCCTGCCCTTCTCTTGAAGTCTCAGAGAGGCTTACGATCTCCTTTCCCTTCCCCTCCCAACAACAGACACCCTGTGAGGTAGGTGGGGCTGAGCAGGGGTAATTTCATAGAAAAAGAGGTGCAAGAGCTCATTAGCATAATAACTTATTAGCATAAGTCATTTGCATATGCCACACCCTCTGACGTGTCAGAAGGCAATACCCACCGCTCAGGCTCCACTGGACTGTTTTGGGTTGCTACACGGACTGGTTTTGGTTGGTAGGCTTTTGGGGGGGGGGGACATGCAGATCTGTCCTTGCAGAGGAGGGAGAGCTTGTACCTGAATAAAACTTGGTCTTAAAGGTGCCACTGGACTGATTTGGGCCGGGGGGCGGGGGGGGGGCTCTGCAACTTACCTGGCTGCTTCTTGCTCTGACTGAGGTCTGCTGGGAGCAGGGGGTGGAGCTTGTTGCATGTGCCCACCCCCTGGGCTCTTTACTGCCGGAGCTCCACTCCTGTGCACTCCTGCAGGAAATGACCCCTGGGGCTGAGAGAGCTCTCTCAAGGACTGCTTCTTGAGAGAACTGCTCTGAGAGAACTGCTGACTGACCCAAGGTCACCCCAGCAGCTGCACGTGGAGGAGGGGGGGAATCAAACCCGGTTCTCCCAGTTTAGAGTCTGCACTCTTAACCACTACACCAAGCTGACTCTTTCTTGGCGGCATGCAGAAGGTTCCAGATTCAATCCCTGGCACTTCCAGCTAAAAGAATCAGGTGGTAAGTGTGAAAGACCTCTACCTGAGACCCTGAAGAGCAGCTGCCAGTCTGAGTAGACAATACTGACCCTTGATGGACCGATGGTCTGATTTAGTATAAGGCAACTTCATATATGTACCTATTTATTTAAATATGTATTCATACATCCCTCTCTCCCAATCATCTTGGTTCCTGAGGTGGTTGACAACATACTATATCAGGTTAAAAAAACCCTGTAATACCAAGCCCTTAAAACAGTAGAACAGCAAGGAATAAAAAATAAAATATGGCAAACATTAAAACATAAGAACCTAAAAAATACGACTAAGCAGAAACATTTTTTTTAAAAAAAGAAAATAAAACAGCCAGCTGCAGTCAGTAACAGCAGCAAGATAAATAAAACCCAACAAAGTGCAAAATCAAGAGGACAGGAGCAATTTTAAAAATTAACCTCCAGTTTCAGCTGATCTGTGAAAATTCACCTAAAAGCTTTGAAGAACAGATAAGTGCCAGGTGAATACTGAAGGGAAAGCCACTCCGAAGTCGGGGTGCCACAACTCAAAAAGGCCCTGCTCCCAGATGTACCTTGTCTCAGTTGAGGGATACTGAGCCCAAGGGGGCAACCAAAATGAGCAGGCAGGAAT